CTAGCTCCACCTACTGTTGGACTCCTTGCCTTCTGTTCAGCCAGTCTCAGCAGGCAGCAGCCCCACCTGCAATGGTGCAAAATGGAGACGCTACCTATTCTGTCTATTATGTAATCTCATAACTTGAAATAATTTCTCCTGCCTCTGTTACTCCTTTGGCATTCTGTTCTCAGGGTGATCATCTGGAATTCACCTAGAAGAACCATAAAGACTATCACATCATTGATGGAATGGGAAGGGTTACAGGTATTCTAATCTTTCACTGAAGTCTTGAGAACACCAAGCTTAAAAGCGAGATGTATTCACAGTTATCCTGTTTTCACTTAAAAGCTTCTTACTCTTATTCCACTTTTCCCTCCCATTTCCATCCCTTTTTTTATTATCCCACTTTTTCTAGATGAATTGATCTTCAATAGAACACATTCGTGTCTGAAAGGTTTCGGCAGATGGCTTTCCTTTATCCTCATTATTCCATTATCATTTCTATTCATCATTGGAAATTGCATAACTGTCAGATTCTCAAGGTACAATAGGAGTAATTCATAGCTGAAATATTAAGTTGCTAAAGTGGGGGCATTGTGATGAACTTAAACAGGAGTTACTTAATAATAATAATAATAATAACTGGAGAAGGACTTCAAAACTATTCGTCTCTCTTTGCTGCATGGAAGGAAAGTGGCCTTTGTACAACATCCTGTCCTTTCTCACATGTAAACACCTTTGTTGGCAATGAATTGACCTTGCCCCTTTCTTGCAACTTTTACTGAGGAATCCATTCACGTAACTGCATATTTTACTAAGGAATCCTTTCATCTAAAACCAGTTATCTGATTTTGGGCCACACTAAATGGGCCATTAAATGTATCTTTGAATTTAACCTTCACGTTATGCAGAGACCAGCAGTTGTGGGTGGGTGGAGTTCATTATTATTAAGATCACAGCTGGGGGGTGGGGTGGCAAGATTTAGATGCTTTTCTCCCTGACACTGCTATTTACATTAGCTTTTCTGCCTACCTGAGTCCGCAAAAATGGGGCAGGGTCCATGTATTATGGAATCCTTTCAAAATAATGCCATCATTATTTACAGTGGTACCTTGAGTTACAAATGCCTCAGGTTACCAACTCCGCTAACCTGGAGGAGTTACCTTGAGTTGACAACTTTGCCCCAGGATGAGAACGGAAATTGTGTGCCGGCAGCAGGAGGCCCCATTAGCAAAAGCAGGCCTCCAGTTAAGAACAGTTTCAGCTTAAGAACAGACCTCCGGAATGAATTAAGCTCATAACTAGAGGTACCACTGTACTAGCAAATGATTCATCATTATGACAGGTGTGTGAGAGAGACAGGGAGAGAGAGATGTCATGTATTTTTGAATTTGTGTATAGGTTACTCCTCAAAGAGTCATGGCTGAAGGACAATGTTGCCCTCACACAAACAATACTTCTCCCAACCTCAGACCTTTACTTTTTAACTGGGAGATGTTAACATATGGGGAAATTGAAAATGATGACACAGATGGGAGAATGGGCTGAACTTGCCCCTAACCTATCCTCACCTGGATGAGGACAGATTTAGCCACCTCTCAACATGATCCCAGATTTCAACATAGTTACCTTGTCCCATAGAAATCGATGGGAGCCTTCTCCCATCAGATTAACATTGCCTCTTCAAAGGCAATTATTGATCGGATTAGTGCCAGAATGTGATACAAAGTGGCATATATTTCAAAAACTATACAGTGCTACCTCGGTTCTCAAACGAAATCCATTCTGGAAGCCCATTCAGCTTCCAAAACGTTCGAAAACCAAGGCGTGGCTTCCCATTGGTTGCAAGAGCTTCTTGCACTCAGCAGAAGCCATGTTGCATGTTCGGGTTCCCAAAAATGTTCAAAAACGGAAGCATTTACTGCCGGGGTTTTTTTCAGCGTTCAGGAAATGAAACGTACGACACTGGAGGTGTTCGGGAACCGAGGTTCCACTGTATTCAAAGACTTTAGTATCACTGCATCTGGATCCTTTGTTGTTGTTCAGTTGTTTAGTCGTGTCCGACTCTTCATGACCCCATGGACCAGAGCACGCCAAGCACTTCTGTCTTCCACTGCCTCCCGCAGTTTGCTGGTAGCTTCGAGAACTCATGCTGGTAGCTTCGAGAACACTATCCAACCATCTCGCCTCTGTCGTCCCCTTCTCCTTGTGCCCTCCATCTTTCCCAACATCAGGGTCTTTTCCAGGGAGTCTTCTCTTCTCATGAGGTGGCCAAAGTATTGGAGCCTCAGCTTCACGATCTGTCCTTCCAGTGAGCACTCAGGGCTGATTTCCTTAAGAATGGATACATTTGATCTTCTTGCAGTCCATGGGACTCTCAAGAGTCTCCTCCAGCACCATAATTCAAAAGCATCAATTCTTCGGCGATCAGCCTTCTTTATGGTCCAGCTCTCACTTCCATACATCACTACTGGGAAAACCATAGCTTTAACTATACGGACCTTTGTTGGCAAGGTGATGTCTCTGCTTTTTAAGATGCTGTCTAGGTTTGTCATTGCTTTTCTCCCAAGAAGCAGGCGTCTTTTAATTTTGTGGCTGCTGTCACTATCTGCAGTGATCATGGAGCCCAAGGAAGTAAAATCTCTCACTGCCTCCATTTCTTTCCCTTCTATTTGCCAGGAAGTGATGGGACCAGTGGCCATGATCTTTGTTTTTTTTATGTTGAGCTTCAGACCATATTTTGCCCTGGATCCTTAGCAGGATTTAATAACTCAGAGAAATTGCAGCTAAATTACAAAACAGACTTTCAATTTTGGCTGCCGCTTACTTTTATCTAGATAGAATTAAATCAACTGGGCAAAATTTTTACTGAACTATATAGCCCAGAATCTGTAGAATCTCTATAAGGAACATTGTTCCTACCAAACCTTTTTTTAACTGCCCTTGAAATTCCTTGGACGTTTCTTCTCCTGATTTGAAATCTCCAAAATATTGCCTGAAAAAAAATGTGACAGCTCAAGATATAGCCAAGGTGAAAGATACATTATATAATTTAGCATGCAACTTTTCCTTTCTTGAAAGGCCACATGCCCTGACCATATATATGTCCATAGAAAGCATTACTGCATGCAAGTAGAACCTAAATGGATGAAAACATATGCCCTTCATGTTATTGGATCACTTGATTTCTGAACCTTTAAATAATGTGCTTTTCAGTGGTTTTGTGATGAGCTAATTTGCCTTAAATGTCACTTGAATTCTATGTAGTGTATCTCAAATATTTCCCCTTCACTTTGCCTATTTCAACTAAAGATGAAATTAAATTTCCCAGATTATCCTGCATTACTTATTCCATCATATATCTTGAATATTTAATTGAATCTGTAATAGAGAAAAATGTAAACAGTTTTGATTAGGCAGTTCTATTACCTGTCACTCCTATCGCAATTAATCACTGGATTCCTTTCTAGTGTAAATACAACAGCTATTGCCACCTGATGTTCTTCTTTTGAATTTCACTGTGGTGTAAGGGGTGATGATAAAAGATGGACTTCATCATTGCAGAATAAAATTCAGAAGCGACTGACACATAGTCATTACTAGCTATTAATTAATGCCACGGTAAGTTCAGCAGCCTTTTCAGTCATCATTAGATGAGTATTTTTTTTCTTCTTGCAGTACAGCAATAGAAATGCAATACAATCATATCAGAGAAAAAATATGTGCATGGTTGAAACCAACTCTGGGCTTGGCTGGGCACTGGATTGGGAGCACGGAGGACTGGACGCAGCGCCAAAAATATATTGAAGATTTTGGAACTGAATAAGAGCCCTGAGCAATATGGGAAAGCCTCTCCTTGTCCCGGAGGGGAGGGATTGCGATCAGGAGCCTTTTCCTGCGCTTTGCAGGGGGCATGCCAGCCCCCTGCATGTCATCAATGCTGACGCGCCCCACCCCCGGTCAGGCTTCCTATCGGTGGGAAGCTCGGGGGCGGGGTTTAGCCGCCTAAATGTGGCCACGGCAGCTCTTCCCCACATTGTGCTGCCGGTTTCTTACAGGTCACCCACCCTCCCTTGCAGTTCCTTGCAATTGACCTTGCTATGGACCTTTGGTTGGTCACCTCGGTTGTCCGAGGGGCCTGGTAGGAGTTCTTTCCCAGTTGGTAAATTGGCACCAGCCTCTTGGTTTTTTTGCCTACCTCGTAGCAACTCGTCACAACTTTCTGGTATTTGGCGGTTAGGCATCGGAATCTGTGTTGGTGTATGGAAGGGCAGGGTGTGGCTATCACCTACCCCAAAAGAATCCGGCGGTCGTGGATCCTGTCCGATGCCCTGCTGTGGCTGGCGGCCATGGCACGACCCCCGGTGACATCAGGGGAGAGCTTACAGTTGCATTTGCATCAACAGGCTCCCCCTACTGGTGGTTAACCCCTGTTAGACTCGCCCCTCCATGAGGGCAGAGTCGATCGTTGGTGTTCTTCCAGTGCCTAAGCCAATACCTCTCACATGCCGTAATCAATAAAGTTGTGGCCTTTTCTAGCCCATTAACCTTTAAATCTGTGTCCGTGTGTCTTTCTTATCCACAAGCGTGGGGGGAGGGTCCTTGAATCGCAAATAAAATGGAAGGAAGTCCTTGTATGAGACAAAGGGAAGGACTGGATGCAGATAGCAGAAGCATTTTTATGGCCAGGGTTCCGAAATATATGGATTCCAAGAAGGAAGGGGGGATGTGGAACAGGCTCAGCTATGTTATTTTCCTCTCCTTCCACATGCAGGTGGCAATGCCTCCATGGGGACAAATCAACCCTCTTTTTTACTGTATATAATTTGGATCTATTCTATTTCCTCCCATTGCCAACCTCCCATCTCAATCCTCCTCCTGGGTCAGTCGCTTCATTTCATTGCAATGCAGAGGTTAACTAAAATCATTCCTGTTTGAACAGGGAATTGCAATGAACCACGTCTTCCCAAAAATTTCAGTCATGAAGAGCCATCAAGATGATATATTGTTCTTTATTTTCCCAGCATGGTACACCAGGCAACGCAGTCCACTGTCACACTGTAATGGAGTGTAACATCCAATCATCCATGCCACAATTCATCATAGGACAAATTTGGAAAAATCTGAGGTTGGCTGAAAGGGGAGGGTTAAAATGTTTTGCTTTGTTTCTTTCCACGTAGCAAGAAATGTAAGAAGCAAATGGTTAAAAATGTTTGAGATTATCTTTTTATGTTAAAGAGCCCATCTAATAGAGACTAGTCTGCAAATTAAAAATCATTTTTCTGAGTGGATTCTTATATTCTAAAGGACAGGGATTCCATGTCTGAAGCATTACAGTGGTACTTCTGGTTATGTACTTCATTCGTTCCAGAGGTCCGTTCTTAAGCTGAAACTGTTCTTAACCTGAAGCACCACTTTAGCTAATGGGGCCTCCTGCTGCTGCCGTGCCGCCACCACACGATTTCTGTTCTCATCCTGAAGCAAAGTTATTAACCCGAGGTACTATTTCTGGGTTAGCGGAGTCTGTAACCTGAAGCGTATGTAACCTGAAGCGTATGTAAACCGAGGTACCACTGTATATATTTTTTCTAAACAGGCAACTATTCCATTTACTGGCCCTCCCATTCCCTTCCACAACCATTACAATTCGAGATTTTTAACTAACTATTGCATGTTAGTCATTAAAAAACCCTTTTAAGGAAAGTCCATGAAAAGGAGCTTATAATCAACAAAAACTACAAGTATGAACAAACAATCAATATTATTAAAAAGAAAACAGATTCACAAAGTTAAAATGAAACTCAGAACTCCAATAACATACCGACATCCCATCCTAGAAGGTTAGAAGGAGAAGAAGGTAAAGGACCCCTGGACAGTTCAATCCAGTCAAAGGTGACTATGGGGCTGTGGCGTTCATCTCACTTTCAGGTCAAGGGAGCCGGCATTTGTCCACAGACAGCTTTCCGGGTCATGTGGCTATCATGGCTAAACTGCTTCTGGCACAACAGAACACCATGATGGAAACCAGAGCTCATGAAAACATTGTTTACATTCCTGCCACAGCAGTACCTATTTAACTACTAGAACTGGTGTGCTTTTGAACTGCTAGGTTGGCAGGAGCTGCGACAGATCAACGGGAGCTCACCCCATTGCGGGGATTCGAACTGCCGACCTTCCAATCGGCAAGCCCAAGAGGATCGGTGGTTTAGACCACCATTGAGCCACCCATGTTTCCATCCTAGAACCAGCAAGTGGGACAAAAAAGGCACAGCATAATTTGGAGGTGTGCCCTCTTCTGAAACAGCCATAGTTGGCATATGGCAAAAGCTGGAAAAAAACCATTTCTAGATACTGATGAGACCTGGGCTCCCTCATCCACTCCTTGCCAAGTCCATGGGCACTCTAAACCATGAGCTTGCTTTTCAAAAGGACCTGGGTCTTTTCAGGTAAGCATCAGTTGTAATCCTCCTTCAAGAGCCGTGATCTCTCAACACACGTACCTCCATCTTGCCCAGATTTAACCTCTTCCATCCCAGAACTGCCAGTTTGGGGTTTTAACAACCTCCCTGATACCAGAAGATGGGGTGGGGGGAAGGCAGAGCTGTGAATCATCAGCATACCGGTAACATTGCAAATCAAACCTTCAGGTTATGAGCAGTTACATGTATATCAGGTGAGGAACTGGATCCAGATGGTAGACTGACCCCTGACCACCTTCCCTCCCTCAACAGGCCATGTTTGATGGGTGGGGCAGCCTACCTGTCCATCATCTGATGTCACAATGGTGTCATGTGACCCATTTTCCTTTGCCTGGGTGGTTTCAAACTTTCCAAGTGTTGCTCGGCAACTCTTGCAAAGGCACAGGGCTGATCAGCTAATCAATGTTGTTTGTATCCCATCTTAAAGTAGCTGAAGTTAGCTTCTCTGATCAGTGGTCCTGGTAGTGTAGAATTTAGGTAATTGGTGATCCACCTTCATGGTTTGAGGTTCAAACCCTGTGATATATAGCATCACCTCTAGGACACCCTTCCTCTCATTTTTGATGGTACAGTGCTCAACAGAGCGTCAAGTTAGTGACCCTAAAATGTCACGTTCGTTAAAAGTTCAGCACCATATTTAGCTATAAAAATGTCATTTATTCAATAATTTAAAGTAGTTGTAATTACTGTGGACATTCTTTAGTCCTCTGTTTACTCCATGCCTACTGTCCCCCCGCCCCCCATTTTTATGCGGTATGGAAATATCTCTACTAGTAGCAATGCAATGTTGACATAATTTAAAGGTCTTCTTAGACAATATTGTTGGAAAATAGAGTAAATTCTCAACCTGAAACATAAACCAATGGATAATCAGTCTGGAAAGTGCAAAAAACACACATACAAAAACCCGCTCTTCATAAATTATTAACGTTTCACTATCTGAAATTTGAACTGTCACTGTAAATGAATGGAAACTAAATTGTATTAATATTTAAGTATACCAAAACTAATTATCTGATACTGTTGTTTGCCTAGTAGGTGATTTTGAGTTTTTGATAGCAAAGGACTCCTGTCTGAAACCAAAACTTTTGCATATCCTCTTTTGGCATGTTGAGTCTATATAATTTTATTTTGTTAATAGGTTTGAACACATTGAACCATAGCTGGAAACATATCAGCCAGGCACACAAAACTTTTTCTCTGGTCAAATTGGTCAAACTCTCATCCTCCTCTAGCTACATTTAATTACAGTGTAATTAAAGCTAGGCTTGGATTTTGTGGTTAGATACTGACCAATCTTTCTCAGAGTCCTCTACATAGTCAGCTACAACCCACTGCAGTAGTTTTCAAAACCAGGTTTGAACTTTGTAGATTCCAGGGCACTTTGAAGGGGTTCTTCAATGAGACTGGTAGCTTGTTCATCATCATTATCATCAACATCATCATCATCATCATCATCATCATCATCATATTATTATTATTTACACCTCGCTTATCTGGCTGGGTTGCCCCAGCCACTCTGCGCAGCTTCCAACATGCATAAAAACATAACAGAACGTCAAACGTTAAAAACTGCCCAATATAGGGCTGCCTTCAGATGTCTTTTAAAAGTCAGGTAGTTGTTTCTTTCCTTGACATCTGGTGGAAGTGCATTCCACAAGGAGGGCACCACTGCTGAGAAGGCCTTGTAACTTCACCTTGCGCTGTGAGGGAATCACCAGAAGGCCCTCAGAGCTGAGGCCGTTTAGGGCTTTAAAGGTCAGCACCAACACTTTGAATTGTGCTTGGAAACAATGTAGATCTTTTAGGACTGGTGTTACATGGTCCCAGCAGACACTTCCAGTCACCAGTCCAGCTGCGCATTACTAGTTCTAGACAGATAATTTGCCTATCGCTGCTAAACCGACTATGTAAAGTGAAGTGACAATAGAGTAATGGATGTCAACTAGGAATTTACACAAACCGGCTCCATACCCAATGCACTCCACAGTCTTCCTCAATGCTCCCATCTTCCATCGCAGACATCAATATGCGAAGGATTTGCTGAAGTTGGAAGCCTGAAAACGACTGACCTACTTAACAAAGTTCTTCTCACGTTCTAATGTAAATACACTTGGCTCCTTGCCCATGCTTCACTGAAACTCACATCCTGCCCCTTATTAAACACTTCAACATAAAATCCAAGTCGTTTGCCAAAATGATCATGTTGAAATCCCTCCTTCTCGCAGAAGTCTCCAGCGTGATTGGCTAGTGCCTCTCCTGAATGCCTCCTGTCAGCCCCTTCTCTTCTTCATTTCCCTAAAATAAGCGCCTCATTTCCGTGGACGAGTTCTGAGTGTTCCTGCCAGGTGCAACCCCCACCCCAGTTTGAATGCTTTTCAAAATTAGAAATTGAATGCCTTTCAATTTGGTGTCATTCAGATTATATCGAAATTCAAATGAGTGTATCTCAACCTATTAAGCAAAAGTTTTCAAAAGATATAGGATATAGGGATTGTTTGTGCTGCATGAGCACAAAAACTTTTTAGCTGGGGTTCTTCGCAACAGAAAATTGTCAAGATTTTTGTTTTAAAGAAATGAAGTTTGACATATAATCTGTTTCCAGGATGCAACTTTGTATTAAAAAAAAATTAGCCTGCAGTGAATGTTTAGATCTGAGTTATAAACATCTAGAGGTAAAAAAACATTATGGTCTGTAAAACTGCTGACAGACCCTTCTCTACATGTACACTAGGGAATATTGCAAAAATTAATACATTATGCACTTCCTTACAAAGGTATGTTTTTTTCTCGCTGTCTACAGAGTTCAAGGGCTTTTTCCTCTTCAGTCATCACTGCAGTGACAGCGATAAACAAATCAAAACGTATACAATTGCCTCTAAAAAAATTTAAAAACAAAATTAAAAACTAGTCTCTGCTCTCAAATCGGCTGCAAAATTGCCACAAGACTGGATTTGATCCTAGACAAGGGCAGTGGTTAACCAAAGAAAAGAAAGCAGAAGTTTTAGTTAATTCACTGGACATGATTATTGATTATTACTGGTATGTAATGCCAAAGCACTGCATACTGTGGGGGATATAGTAGAAGTGAGAAAAGGGAAGACTTAGGTGAACTAGGGGTGACATCCTGACTTTTCAATGACTGCAGATATTGAACACTCACATTTCATAATATGGGAGCCCTTTGCGGGATCGTGCGTGGGACTACAGTTCCCAGGGAGCTTAGCGGTAAAAGGGGGCTGGCTTGCTTCTCAGTGTTATTATTCAGAGGCTCACACCCAGCCTCAGTAATCAAGTTTCTTGCTGAGAGGTGGGGCCAGCCCCATTTATAAATATGGGGTGGAGCCGACAGTATCCAGGCAGTTGGCTCTGGAGATTCACCCTCCCTACCCTCCCTTAGTTTAATGTTTCTTGTTTGCAGGTTAACTTTTTCTTCCTGTTTAGCGGGCGCTGCTGCGGCCTTTGACTGGTTGCTGTTGAAGGACTGGGAAGAAATATTCCTGCATTGGCAGGTTTTGTCTTCCCCGCAGCAATTCATCACAACTTTGGCGGTTATGGCCTTGGGTGGAATCCTTTAGTCTTTTCTTCCCTATAATGGGTGTGTGTGTGAAGTGGTGACTCACCCCCCTGTGGCGTCCATTCCAGGGGTTATATAATGGGTGTCACTGGCCATACACTGAAAGGTTGTCAGTGAACTACCCTGCGTGCGGGGATATGGGCTGGGCTGCCTGCATACACTTATGTCTAGCAGAGCACCTCCATATCCCATTTATTCTAATGTGCCCCAGTTCCCCTGGCTGGGGGGCTGGAGGGATACATGCCCAAGGCCTAAGCCAAGGTCTTCCTACATTTGGAGGTTTAATAAAGTTGTGACCTAATTTTAAATCCATAATGTTGTCAGAGTCCTTATTCCTTTCTTATGATCCCTGGGGGCTGGGGCCGTCGTGCCTGGTCCCACAAAAAGGTTATTGATGGAAGTGGTGGGGGAAGCAGAAAAAGCTCCTGGGAAAGATGATGGCGGTTGTGATGGCAATTTCTACCTCCCCCCCCCCAAATGACCAAGCAACCTCTATTCACTTCTTAAAATCCTCAGATGAACATTCAAAGCTGGATTTATTATGAGCTATAAAGAACATAGGGACGTGGGTAGCACTGTGGGTTAAACCACAGAGCCTAGGATTTGCCGATCAGAAGGTCGGCGGTTCGAATCCCCACGACAGGGTGAGCTTCTGCCAACCTAGCAGTTCAAAAGCATGAGGTACCACTCCGGCTGGAAGGTAAACGGCATTTCCGTGCGCTGCTCTGGTTCGCCAGAAGCGGCTTAGTCATGCTGGCCACATGACCTGGAAGGTGTATGCTAGCTTCCTCGGGCAATAAAGTGAGATGAGCGCTGCAACCCCAGAGTCAGTCACAACTGGACCTAATGGTCAGGGGTCCCTTTACCTTTACCTTTGCCTTTACAAAGAACAGAGACAATTATGTTAATTACAAAGCTATATTATTCAAGAAGACTCTGAAGTGCAGTCTTTCTCATAAGCTCCACGTGGAGGTCCATGCTTGTCACAGCAAATGAAATATGTTTGGTGGTAATTCATGTCAGTAAGTCCCCATAGTTCCTCTTTTGTTGCATACATGTAAAAAAAGAGGAAGACAGTTTTAGAAGGGGAACGTTTTGATCAGAGAAGTGGTTTAACCCTTTGAGAGAAGATGGACAAAAAAACTAGCATCTTTCAGTTGGGAGTTCTGGCATGACCCTGCGAGACCAAAAGATGGGACAGTCTAGGATCCACTCAGAAGCTGAGATGGACTTCTGTGATTCTGGGATATCCCACTTAAAATGGGGGTTTGGTCTATGCATATGTGATAACTTTCAATGTGAACTCACCATCACTGCTTCAAGCATGTGAGTGCCTGGCACACGAGTTGACCATTCAATATGGCTAGTGTACTGCTTCTGGAAAGTGTGCAAGTCACTTTCTTAAGTATAGCAACCAGGGGAGATGTGTATATTTAAAGTAATTTTATAAAGATGAGAAGTTTGGGTGTTCTGAAAAGCAGACTCTAAATATGCACAGGTTGGGTCTCACCGTCTTCAGTGTATGGAATGTGGCTTCCCAGATACTTTAGAAACCTCCTGATTCTTGAGGCAGCAAAAAAAAATGAGGTCAATTGGAAAAATAAAATGTGTGTGTGTGTGTGGATAGATAGATAGATGATAGATATAGATAGATGATAGACAGATATATTATACATGAGGTTCATGAGGTATGGCTGTGTTCAGCATAGTTGATCATAAACCACGCAGGACTCCAAAGTATTATTATTATTAGGTATATATTAGTTTCATTTAGCAGTAAAAAAAAAAATTGGGCCATGTCCTAACCCCTTTAAATCAAACATAAGTCATACTTGATGGAATTTTGTTTCAAGTTAAGGCTGTAACCAAACGCCTCATACTGCTACACAAGTTTTGTTGATAACCCAAGAAATGCTGTGAATTAATTTACTTCACTTGGTGTTTCTTTCTCGCCGCTGCTCTCTGACCTCTAAGATTAGCTGCAGCTAATGTATATATGGATTCTAGAATGGCAGCACTGAATAATGTGACCCTGATTTGGCCTTTGGGTTTGATGAGTACTCTCACTTTCTTTCCTTTTCTCAACTAATTTGTTTTCACAAGTGCCCACTCAGCTCTCACCAAACTGGTCAGATGAAGAAAATTGCTTGAATCTCAAGAAAAGAAGTGCATAGCACCTTCAGAGGGTCTTGTTTCTCTGTTTTTAAGTTTGGTTGTAAAATTAAGTTCCCATAGTAAGCTTTTCTTAGATGAAATTAACATTGCCTAGGAATTCTATGGCACTAACATCTACTGAACTGAAGGCAGGCTGGAGAGCAAACCATTCTCCTATTTCAACCTTTGTACTGAACCATTAAAAAAAAAAAAAGGTTGAATGTGTTTGGGAGGGAAGGGACACAGGTTGTGCTGTGGGTTAAACCACAGAGCCTAGGACTTGCCAATCAGAAGGTCAGCGGTTCGAATCCCCGAGACGGGGTGAGCTCCCGTTGCTCGGTCCCTGCTCCTGCCACCCTAGCAGTTCGAAAGCACGTCAAAGTGCAAGTAGATAAATAGGTACCACTCCGGCGGGAAGGTAAACGGCGTTTCCATGTGCTGCTCTGGTTCGCCAGAAGCGGCTTAGTCATGCTGGCCACATGACCCAGAAGCTGTATGCCGGCTCCCTCCGCCAGTAAAGCGAGATGAGCGCTGCAACCCCAGAGTCAGTCATGACTGGACCTAATGGTCAGGGGTTCCTTTACCTTTTTAAAGGCATTCTACAATGTACCTTTACTATAGCAGGCAAGTGGTGGTACAGAAACTTTACTTTTCCACCACCATTTTGTGCCCACAGAGTCATAGCACAACATAACTTTTCAGAGTGGTCATGAGGCTGTTGCATCTTGTTCCCTAGGGAGGAGCAACACACTACTTACTGTGACCAATTCACAAATCTTATCTGTTGCTTCTTAGATGCCATTGTTAGGGCAGTCGGTCAATGGTACCAGCTTGATGCAGCCTGAGGATATGGGCAGTACACACTGGAGAAAAAAGGATGACTATGTTGTGTGCTCAGCCTTTGCCTTTCTTGGCTGATAACATTTCCACAGGATGGTTTGGACAAGTGGGTGTCTGGGTAGATGCTTCATTGTGTGAAGTTATGGTCCCACAGATTTTAAAAGAGGCAGTAGTCGGGTCATGTTTTTAAACAAAATGTACTGGATAATTTCTACCTAGTCTTGGGCAAGGTGTTCAAGCAAGTGGTGGTCTCCTAACTCCCAGTCTTTTAGGGTGATATGGAGGATCTAGATGAGAGGTTCCCAAACTTGTTTAGCCTACCGCCCTCTTTTCAGAAAAAAATTACTCAACGCCCCCTAGAAATCTACCTTCCTTAAGCAAAGAAATAGAAAGATGCAGTGAAAAATTTGTGTTCTTTTATGTATCTATATACAGTGGTACCTCGGGTAACAGACGCTTCAGGTTACAGACTCCGCTAACCCAGAAATGGTACCTTGGGTTAAGAACTTTGCTTCAGGATGAGAACAGAAATTGGGTGGCGGCGGCGCAGCAGCAGCGGGAGGCCCCATTAGCTAAAGTGCTGTCTCAGGTTAAGAACAGTTTCGGGTTAAGAACGGACCTCTGGAACGAATTAAGTTCTTAGCCCCACTGTAAATAGGCAGAGAAGCTGTGATCCACTTCCCAGCGAGGATGAAGCCGAAAAGGGATCACCCAAGCCCAGGAAAACCCCTCGCCTTCTGCACGACTGACAGATCCAGGGGAGGCATCATCATCATCATCATCATTTATTGTTTATAGCCCACCCATCCGGCCAGGTTTCCCCAGCCACTCTGGACAGCTCCCAGCAGAATATTAAAAACACGATAAAACTTCAAACATTAAAAACTTCCCTCAACAGGGCTGCCTTCAGATATCTTCAAAAGTCAAATAGTTGCTTATTTCCTTGACATCTGATGGGAGAGTGTTCCACAGGGCAGGTGCCACCACCAAGAAGGCCCTCTGCCTGGTTCCCTGTAACCTCACTTCTCACAGTGAGGGAAACCCCAGAAGGCCCTTGGAGCTGGACCTCAGTGTCTGGGCAAAACGATGGGGGTGGAGACACTCCTTTAGGTATACTGGGCCAACGCCATTTAGGGCTTTAATGGTTAGCACCAACACCTTTAATTGTGCTCAGAAACGTACTGGGCACCAATGTAGGTCTTTCAGGACCGGTATTATATGGTCTCGGCGGCCACTCCCAGTCACCAGTCTAGCTGCCGCATTCTGCATTACTTGTAGTTTCTGGGTCACCTTCAAAGGTAGCCCCAAGTAGAGCGCATTGCAGTAGTCCAAGCATTGTCGTGATCACACAGTGGCGTCCAACCTGGCAGTAAGCATCATTAACAAAATAGCAACTAACAAAAATAAACTAAGCCCTGTAAAGTCCATACACTCAGTTGGTAGAGCGTGAGACTCTTAACCTCAGAATCATGGGTTGAAGTCCCACATTGGGAAAACATTCCTGCATTGCAGCGGGTTGGACTAGATGACGCTCATGATCCCTTCCAACTCTGCAATTCTAGTATTCTCTCCACACCCCATGACTCAGAACACATTAAGTGGCAGTGTTGGGAGAGGCATCTCTGGAACAAGGTGATAGCACTTACACTGGACTAGACAGCCCAGTAGTCTGACTCCATAAGGATGTGGGTGGCGCTGTGGTCTAAACCACTGAGCCTCTTGGGCTTGCCGAACAGAAGGTCAGAGGCTCGAATCCCCATGACGGGGTGAGATTTTGTTGCTCTGTCCCTGCCAACCTAGCAGTTAGAAAGCACACCAGTGCAAGTAGATAAATAGGTACCGCTGCGGTGGGAAGGTAAACGGTGTTTCCGTGCGCTCTGGTTTCCGTCACGGTGTTCCATTGTGCCAGAAGCGGTTCAGCCATGCTGGCCACATGACCTGGAAAGCCGTTTGTGGACAAATGCCAGCTCCCTTGTCCTGAAAGCGAGATGAGCACCGCAACCCCATAGTCGCCTTTGACTGGACTTAACCATCCAGGGATCCTTTACTTTTAACTTTACATATAAGCAGTGATTTTTTTCTGGGAGTATGCATACCCCTAAACATTTTGTGAATCTAAGTTTGTCTTCATTGAGTGGCAGTATTTCAATATGAGCAGGAAAAGGAGAGTGCCCCTAAACATTTTTTAAGAAAAAAAGCACTGCCTATAAGTAGCATCATATACCAACTATGGAATCCTGAGATGTATACTCAGTTACCTCGGTCCAATTCCTTATAATTTTGGCATCAAGCAGTGTAGGTACCTTCTGCTGAAAGGTGCTATTGCCTAGAAGAAATGTGTTCCGTATCTCATTTGCTGTATGTGTTATTTAACAGATATTGCTAAGATTAAAGTTCAACAGCAGTAACAGTGACTGGGAGAGGGGAGCTTTGGAGAAATGACATCTTTTTGGCAAAAAATGAAACAGAGCTGAATAGATTAATGTTGAAAGAATGAACACAAAGATGATTTAATTGATGGAATAGGGTGAAATATTTGACAGACTACGGTAAATGTTTTCAAGGGGGGAAACCTGAGAGACTTGATAAAATTCATATTGTTCACAGAAGCAAGAGGAAAACGCGTTTTGTGACAATATCTACTTTGTAGGCAGAACAAAGGCTCTTGCCAAAATTAATTCTGTCCACACGCTAGCATATGGAAACTTGAATAGCAGCCTTTAAGATGGACATACTCAGTTGTTTCCCACTCTACAGCTTTTGCAACATAATATGAAACTGAAGATGACTGGAAAATAAGAATAATCCAGGCAGATCCTTGAAACCCAGTGCAAACAATCTTTACTTGTAGGTTAGCAATGCACAGAAGGACATAATTCTGCACACATGTGACCCTGAGTGCATTGAGAGCTCTTTTAACTTTCAGTTTAACAAACACACTTAGGGACGCTCTTAGCGACATTCCATTGTTCCCAGAACATTTCAAAGAGATGTTTGCTCAACACTCCAGTGCTAACTCAAAACATAACATCCTGACATCTGTGCCCCTCTAGTAAGGCAAATAAACCCCCAGCCCACCAGGGTCAGAGAAGTATGGAGTTGCAGTGATTCAGAATTTACACAGTGTAGGGAGAAGGCATGAAGGAGTCACAAAATGCAGGAACACAAAATGCAGAATCAAATTGTTCATTGATACATTGGTGATACATAGTCTTTTATAGAGTAAAGGCAATTACTGTTGGGTAAATCCATGAAACAACTAAGGAAAAATCTATATCAAGAATCTAAGATCAAAATTTCTTTATCACTGACATCAAACATTCCGGTCCCAAAAGTTTTCCCTAGCTCAGATTTTAATCCGTACCAGAGAAAGATCTGGTTTTCCCTTTCATACTCAAGCTGATGAGGATGATGTTCCCCTGCAGGTAGAACATTAGAAAACTACTGTGATACTAAGGGTTAGAGCCAGACTAACAATGCATTCCTAACCATGTCTGTCTGGGGGAACATCCTACCAAATTACATGGGACTTATTCTCAGGTAAAATAATATAATAATAACATAATAATTTATTATTTATACCCCGTCCATCTGACTGGGTTTCCCCAGTTACTCTGGGTGGCTTCCAACAAAATATTAAAATACAATTGTCTCCCAAACATTAAAAGCTTCCCTAAACAGGGCTGTCTTCAGATGTCTTCTAAAAGTCAGATAGTTGTTGATTTCCTTGACATCTGATGGGAGGGCGTTCCACAGGGCGGGCGCCACTACCATGAAGGCCCTCTGCCTTGTTCCCTGTAACCTCACTTCTCACAATGAGGAAACCCCCAGAAGGCCCTCGGAGCTGGACCTCGGTGTCCGGGCTGAACGATAAGGGTGGAGACGCTCCTCCAGGGATACTGGGCCGAGGCCATTTAGGGCTTTAAAGGTTAGCACCAACACCTTGAATTGTGCTCAGAAACGTACTGGGTGCCAATGTTGGTCTTTCAAGACCGGTGTTATGTGGCCTCGGTGGTCGCTCCCAGTCACCAGTCTAGCTGCCGCATTCTCGATTACTTGTAGTCACCTTCAAAGGTAGCCCCACATAGAGCGCATTGCAGTAGTCCAAGTGAGAGATAACTAGAACATGCACCACTCTGGCGAGACAGTTTGCCTAATTAGGATTGCAGCCTAAATTAGTCACACTATACCCTTGTTGTAATCAATGGTCCTTAAGTTAATCACTGATTTGTCCCATTGGGACAACGCATGAGTGGCTAACCTAGGACCCTTCAGATATTTTTGAGCTCCAAATCCCACCAGTCCCAGTTAGTACTACCAATGGTTAGGGATGATGGGAGTTGTAGTCCAACAGCACATGGCTGTTGGTTCCTGTTTCTTCTGCATCAGGAAAGATTCAATTAACTATATGGGCATGCATGCACTATACAGTTGCTTTTGTTTGTAGTTATATTGCTGTTGGTTTGTTTATTCTTCTTACAATCAATAAATGTTTTGGGGTTTTTTTAAAAAGAAAAAATTAGAAAATGTTGAAAGTTTGGAAGAACATATTCATTTAACTCTATATAATTAAAAGTAGCATATAGCTTTAATGAAATTAATCCCCAAATTTATTTTCAATTATTTATTTTATAGTCTAGACATAAACCTGCTCTTTATATTTATAGTCCCAAAGTCATTTCTATTAAAGATTAATAAACCTTATTCACAAGACACCTTAAAACTGGAAGCATTAAAAAAAGTGTTGTGGCTGGGCCCATAACCCTGATGGAATACTTCATCTGAATTATCCCCTCAAGAATCCCCAATGGGGACACAGAAATATTTTACTGCGTCTTACATCATTCCAGCAAAGGAAATTATTCAGCACAACAATGCAGATTAATTTAAAAGTGACATAATTGATTGTGCTAAAGCTAAGGGCAGCATTCAGGTCTTCTACTGTTTAGAAAACAAAACACATGGTTGCAAAATCAAATCATTATGGTGGCCTTTTTATTTTATTGGAGAAATGACATTTTTAAATCTGTGGCTGCAGGATCGTCATAGAAACGTCTAGAACAGAGATTTCCACTGGAAATGTCAAACGTGATTCAAAAGAAAGTGTCTCAGATGAAAGGAAGACACAAAAAGCTGTTCCTGACGGAAAGTTGTCATGGCCTTAATTCTCCTCTCCCTCCAACAACTGCTATTTACCTTCGGTGGGGGGAACTGTCATTAATGCAAGTGGCAGTTTTCGTCACGGGGCAAATAGCAGCTGTTGAGGCAGCAGTGGCAGGGTGATTTGGATCAGAATAAATTCCTTCTCCCTCCATGCCATGGTACCAGTCTGAATTCCCTTTCTCCCCAGCTGATATTTGCTACACGAGAGCCAAGAACGCAAAGCAGAATCAAGACCTTAGGGCCGTGCGTAGATTGGCCCTTGGTCGTTGTTTTGCTCATTCAAACTTATAACCCTTCTGAGCTCCGTTCAGCCTTATGTTTTAAAAACACTGTAAATGCAGCCACTTAATTTAAAGCACTTTTAAGGACCATTCACACAGCAGGAAATAAATGAGGTCAAAAACTGCTTTATAAATAGCCACACAGCCATTTCCAATTGTCTATGGGGCCATCAGGCATGCTGTTTCGACCGGCCCTCACCTCCGAGGAGGCCCAATTACAATGATTTAAGCATTCATGCTGTGCTTAGAGCTTTTTATGTTAAAGGACTTTATTCTATGAGAAGAGGCAGTAAAGGGAGCATTTAGTGTGTTAACATACTTCAGGGCTGCTAAACTCCTTTATGTGGTTTAATGCGAACACACCCTCTAATGTTCACGGGGGCATGCACTGAGCAATTCTGTGCAGAAAAAGCCACAAAAATGGTCATTGGTGCAGAATTCAGCATTCCGGGTCATGTGGCCAGCATGATTAAGGCTCTTCTGGCAAACCAGAGCAGTGCACATTCACTGTTTACCTTCCTGCTGGAGCGGTACCTATTTATTTACTTGCACTTTCCTTGGAAAAATGTTGGAGGGTATGGAGTTATCCAACCCCTGAGCCGTCGGAAGGCAATTCTGTACAGGGAAGGCCTTTTTTAATGTTTACTGTTTTATTATGCTTATATATTTATTGGAAGCTGCCCAGAGTGGCTGGGGCAACCCAGTAAGATGTGTAGGGTATAAATAGTAAAATTAACATTATGGAATGGTCCGTCCCTATTTTTATCAGAGAAATGTTGGAGGGTATGTTAAAAGCAGCAGTGCCAGGTAGATTGCCAGCAAACATGCCAGGACAAAAGGAGGCAACAAAATTGTGCTAAGCCACAAGGGACTTGATATGTCAGTGCTCTGTTCACAATGGTACTAGATTGTGACCTATGTAAACTAAGGGAATACATGCAAATCTGCAAAATTCACAGAATTCAGACTTCTTGGTGCAGGATTTATTTGACAGAGAAATTTGGTTATTTTTATGCACATGGCACACTGACATATGCTTATTATATCCCAGAGC